TTATAAGCTGATGTTAGCTTTAATTGGTAGTTACTATATGTAATATCATTTTGTGAGGAAGGTAGTAGAAAATGGCTGAAGATTTTTCCTTGGAAGAAAACACCATGGACTTGGCAAATACAAGAGGAAGTAGTTTATCATTTATGAAGCCTGATTAGGCTCAAATGGTTGCTTAATGGCTCAAAGGTAAATGATATCTGTGAAAAGTTTTAACAACACCATACAGTGAGGGAAGGTGATCTTCCTATTTACAAAAGAACTCATATAACATAGGAATTGAAGGAGTATACAAACATATTAAAATATGGTTAAGACATCTGGGTAGAACAAATTGGTTGCCCAAAGATTATATTTCCAGTGCAGAATGAATGAGACAGATGTCTGGATATGGATATAAAGGAATAGAAGTAAGACGAACGAAGTGTTTTCTAAATTATTTCTGTTTTCCAGCTGAAGTGCTTCTGAATTAGTAGTAATTGTAACTGGTTTATTCCACATGTAACTCCTAGTATGCCAAGAAAATTAATCTAGCCTGATTATGACATCATAAAATAAACAATTTATATATAGTCATCCCTCAGTATACAAGGGAGATTGATTCCAAGAACCCCTGAGAATACCAAAATCTGCACATGCTCAAGTCCCACAGTTGAACCTCCAAAACACTCATATATGAAAGGTCACTTTTAGCAGATCACAGATTCTCTTGAAAATAAAAATACATTTTAAAAAGTCAGGCTTTCCTGCCTACAGGTTTTGCATACCTTTTCTATCTGCATTTAGTTGGAAAAAATCCACAAAGTGGACCCTTGAAGTTCAAGCCTGTGTGGTTCGACTGTCAGCTGCACTTAGAAACCCATTTTATAAATACCTTACCAATAAGGGCAGAGTAGTTAAAAAATAAGAAAAGAAAAAAAGAAACCCATTTTATTCTCATCTTAATTTCCAGGCAGCTATTGGTCACAGTATGATATTCATTACCTTAACATAAATTTCTTTCTTTTTTTTTTTTTTTTTTG